CTTAGTCACTTCCTTGTTTGGTCACGTGATATGAGTAAGTCATCACTAGGCTGCAACACACAACAAAAGATACTTCATCAGTGCTTCCCCAATGTTATGTTAATTAAAAATTTTACCTTTCGTAATATTATGGAATGCAAGCGTTTTTTAAATGAAATACATAAATGTGACAATAAATATACGTCAGTTATAATTAAAGGAAGAAAGTTATTTCAAGAAAAATTTGTGAGCGATATTCGATGTGAACTATCAATACTATTATCGGCAGGATGTTGTTGAGCTCCGTGCGTGCTCATGACGTCATTTGCGTTGTTATTCAATATTGATGCAGGAGTCATTCCCCTTTGTTTATTTTATTGTTAATTTTCATTGGACGAAATGTAGTGTAGTTGTAGTGTGTATCGGGCTGCTGTTGTCAAGCACTAGTGTGTTGTATACAGGATACCGGAAATCTTACTCGTTTTTACTCATATCACGTGACAAAATAATTGACTAAGCGACTCCCATTGGAAAAAATATTTGTGGATTGAAACACAGGTAACTAAGATATTAAAAGTATAGGCCCTATTTTGTAGGATTATCAATGAACAATACCTTTAAAGGTATATTTTTTTGTTGTTGAAAAAATCGTTATAATGTAAATTTACAAGAAAAAAAACGTATTGTTTTCATAATAATATCAATCCATTTTAACTACAATTATTATTAATAAATTTTGCTTCATTGCTTTGCAAACCCCACTTCTAATCGACAGACTTACAATAAGAAAAATCATTTTTTGATGAAGAACCCTTTGCCCTTGTAAAAAGAATTCTGTGTTGATTAGCCTTGTATGCTTTGTTTCCAGATATTTTTACCAGAGAATTCGGAGATAATATTTAGTAGCCTAACTCCAGTGGGTATTGATATTTTGGATTATAAATTATTTAAAAAAACAAAACAAATTGTTTCTATTATGTGATAAACATTTTTTTAAATGTCTTTTTCAATAAATTTCAGTCAATTAATGTACCATGTTTTTATGGGCATTAATTTAATCTGTTATTACATTAATTACATAGAAAAAAACCTTTTTAAAAAAAACTCTTATATATTTATATAATCTTGGGAAATCTTGGGAAATTCGTTCAACAAATCTTGGGAAATTTAAAAAAAGTGAGTGGCAGCCCTGGTGTCTTATACTAACAGCTAACTGGGCTGGAGACAGACCGATTGATTACTACATGCAGTGTGCCTTAGAAGACTAAGTGAGATTCATCTGAAAGTCGTTGGTGTCTCACACAGAAATAACTATACAGGTGCCGAATGGACACGAGTTCCTTCAGGAGACCCTTCTATGAGATCGTCGGGACAGAAGTCAGTGAAACGGGTAGACCCCCCCCCCCCTTTTTTTT